GCCCCCCTGCCAAGTGCTGCGCCGCCGGAGCGCCCCCCCTCCACGGAATGCCGCGCTGCCCCCTGCCACCCCAAGATTGGCCGCCCCTTACCAGGTGCTGCTCCAAGCATGTGCTTGGTTGCCTGGTGCCTGGAGCCGGGCCTGCATACAAGGAGGCCTGAAAGAAGGCACCAAGTTCAGGGTGGGATGAATTGACAAAGAGGTCTGTAAGGAGGCATGTTTAGGCAGAGGACAGGGTGAGTGGGGGTTAATGAGGGCAAAGGTAAATGATGGCAAGAAAGGAGGTGGGTCAAGTGGGGACATGGGACTGGTAGGTAGAATTCCAGGATTCTATTTCTGACTTTGTGTGACCCTTGGAACATTAAAACCTTTCCGTGCCTTAGTTTACCCCTAAGATTTTAGTCTGCCATAGGGTTTTCTATAATGCCTAACACCAACATCTAAGTTCCTGAGGGTAATAATACCTACCATACAGGGGTTTTGTGGGGCTTGATTTACTGTTTTGAGACACTAGTGTATTTTCTTTCTTTCTAGGCACTACTGCATTACAAATAATAACTAAGCCTCACCGCACCCTTGAGACAAGCTGCAGGGTATGTATTATCCCCGTTTTACAGGTATGGACACTGAGGCATAGAGCTGTTGAGTCCTACATTTTCATGTTTGGGCAACAAAGTTAGGCACCTGAATAAGTTGCCTGATTTTCAAAGGCACTGGGCACCTGCTGCTCCCACTGAAATTAATACAAATCTAGGCAATTAATGTTAGGTACCCATGGTTGCACAGTTTGGCCTAAGTCATTTTCTCTCTGTCACATGGGGAGCTGGAGTCTGTGGTTCATAAAGGCTGCTTTGTGGTTGTGCCACTTCGTGGGACAAAGGGCTGTTGTGGGGGCACCCAGAACCCTGCTGCCTAAATGCCCCCTGAAGGCTGCTCACTTTTATGTTGGGGACTGGGTCAGTGCCCAGAGGCCTTGGGATTAAGGCCTCCTCCTCTGGATTTCTGCCAAACATAGTGTAGTTAGTCCAGAGAATCTGTGTCAGAGAGTCAGAGCCGGGATCAGAAGTGCCAAGGTCTGTGCTGTGAGAGCCACTCCTCTGTAGGAATTACATGGACTTTGCAAACATAAGTAAAAAGCAAGGAGGTCAAATGCTGGTCTGAACAACCTTGATACTGCAGTTCACCTCTGGGAGTAAGTAAATATCCCCTCAGTTGCATGCTGCAGAACAAACACTGCACTTGTCGGGTGCAGTTTGATCTGGAGAACAGTCAGCAATTGCTGGCAAAGGTCAACTCTCTCTGAACCCAGCCCTGCAAGCGCTTACCAGGGTGCTTGACTTTGTGACTAGTCCCACTGAGTTCAATGGAATTACTCACATGCTTAAAGTTAAGCATTGGAAGGATCAATGTCTACATTAATTCTGTTAAATACTGCATAGGCCAGTGGACCCCTACTGGCTCCCTACATGTATGTGAGTGACAGTTCTCATTCTACGCAGCCACACAACGTGTTCATATGTGTGCGAACCATATTAACAGGTAGGGAGAGCAGAGCAGATATAATTTATGCTCTTTTTTCTCACTTGGATTAACAGACTGCTATTGAACACCGGGGTTTCCCAAACCTGCTAGGTGAAGGGAAAGGCAGCGGAGGACAAGTTACAAAAGGACAGGAAGAAGGGCATGACGGCCTCCTAGACCAGCAACTCACTCTATGCTGAAATGCCTTTCCTGATCATAGGTTTTCCCTTCTAAAAAATAAACCTGGCCAAAGACTGATCACTCCTGCTGAACAAAAACCAAAACCCTCATTCGCAGCAGCTTCCAGTCTGACGCTCAAGCAGATACAGCCTGGAGGCATAAGGGGGGTATTATTTCGTCATTCTCAACCCACTGGTTTTCCAATGTATCAAAACCACTGAGATCAACTCATAAGCGAGGAGCCCAGTCTTGCAATTGGATCCACATGCACAGATCCCTGAGCCCAGGTTGGAGCCCCATTTACTTCAGTTTTGCCCCTAACACCAGTGGTCTCCGGATGGTTCGGCTGTTTTGGTTAGTTGTTCCACTGCCCAAGGTGAACTTGCATGGTCAGTTGTGATCATTGAGTATTTCCATGCATTTCAGCACAGGGTGGCACGACAGTCATTAGATCCACAGGATGTGTGTTTTTAAATGTTTTTATTGATTTTTAACATTCATTACGTGAAATACAAACAATCCGGTCTCAGCTATTTGAGAGACAGTAAAATGTCTAACATTGAGAGCTGCCAGTCAGAAAAACGTGTATTTTATATCAAACCTGAGTAACAGGGCACAGCTATTAGTCCACGTCCCAGTATATATTGGGAGGAAAATTATATAGTTTTACTACCTAGAGTCCTGGTCCTGCAAAAACACATCACTTTACTCACATGAGTAGTCCCATTAACTCAAAAGGGATTACTCCTGGGAGTAAAGGAAGCCTTTCTATTGACTTCAGTACATTTTGGATCGTGCCCATACACAATAGCATCAACGAGGATAAGGACACAATGCGAAGAGGATCAATAATACAATGTCTTCCAGCCACCTTTTTGCTGAACCGGTTATTTTCTCCTAAGCCTCTAGTTCACTAGGACCAGTGCACCAGATAATAGTACATGACATGAAAAAGGATCTTCACATCTGCTGATCTCACTTATTTGTAAACAGGATTTATCAGGACATGCGTCTGACGAAGTGGGTATTCACCCACGAAAGCTTATGTTCCAATACATCTGTTAGTCTTAAAGATGCCACAGGACTCTCTAACAGGACTCTCTAGGACTTATCAGAATATCTTCCCCCTTTCTCCTCTGTGTGTGTACATATATATATATAGGTTTCAGAGTAGCAGCCATGTTAGTCTGTATCCGCAAAAAGAACAGGAGGACTTGTGGCACCTTAGAGACTAACAAATTTATTAGAGCATAAGCTTTCGTGGACTACAGCCCACTTCTTCGGTTGCATATATAGGAGCAGCAATGCACCATGTTGCCACTTAGTGGCACCCAAGCATTTTGGGACCTCTGCAAAGAGCAGTTTGTAGGACACTTGGCAACAGCTACCGCTACGCTCCTGCCACCCGACTGAAGTCAGGTGAAGTCAATGAGGCTACACAGCTGTAAATATAAGTGGGGTTTCGCCCTGGGTGTATTGCATCAGAATCCACAAGGTGATCCCCGAGGCTACGCTGGATAGAAGACATTTGTTAAATGAGTCACTGTGGAGAGGATCCTAATATTTCTTTACGGGGAACCCTGATAAGATAAGGAAGACGCTGGGAGACCTGTCAGCGGACCAACAAAATAACAGTACACAAGCCATTAGGCCTAAAGGGTTGGCTCTTCAGGTCCTGGATGTTATACAGAAGGTGAGCAACGCGGAACTGATGACTGGTACGGTCTGACTGCTGGTAAAGGAAACCTGAAATGGCATCTTAATCTTTTAAACGTGGGTATTGTGGAACACATTTTGCTAAGCAAATATTGGCTTTTTTCCAAGGGAACGCTACAGCAGGTATCAGTGAAGGCAGGGCAATAAAACAGACAAACTGTATCTAGAAGTAACGGGCCAAGTGCAGACTGGGTATAACCCAGCTGCCATTACATTCTCTGGGCCACATTCAGTGCTTATGTTTCAAGTTAAAAATGAGCAGAAGTGGCAAAAACAGAGTAACTTGCACTGATCTGGTCCTCCATGGGTGTGTCAAAATGAGTGTGACTTACACACTGAGGGAAATGAAAAAGGGGGAAATAGCAGGAAAAACAACCAACAGGAGAGTGTAAAGCGTATGTGGCACGGGGTTGCTACTTATTTAACAACCCTCTGTCAGTTGCTTTTCATTCTACAGCCCCGCTCCATCCAGCTGTTTCACCTCCTTGGTGTGTAAGTCACCCTGGGTTTCGCACATCCAAACTGGAGCAAATCACACACCCAGAGCCCATTTCTGCCTTCAGTGACACAATACGACTCTGATTGAAATCCACGGGAACTGCACTGGCATGGCAGAGGACAGAACTGGGTCTCCTGTAACTTACCACTAAAATTTGGGCCATTAGCTACTGATTAAACCCCCGGAATTTCTGCTTCAGAAGTGGCTCTGGATTTTCTCTTGCTGGCCAGGGTGGTCAGGATGGAGTCCTCACTGAAGGCCCCCTCGAAGGCAGAGAGGATGGACTGTCGGAACTTCTCCTTGAAGTCCTGCCCCACAAAGACATAGAGGATGGGGTTGATACAGCTGTTGAAGAAGGCAAGACTGGAAACCAAGGGGATCCCTATGTAAAGGGCCATTTTCAGCTCCTGATTGGAAGAGTTTTTAGACATTTCCAGCAAGCAGAAGACATGGTACGGGAAATAGCAGAGGAAAAAAGACACTGTGACAGCAACAATGATCCTGAAAGGCTTAGTGGACCTGGCTAGATGGCTCCTTTTCATCCTGACGGCAATGATGCTGTAGCAGACAAGGATCACGGTGAAGGGGATGAGGAACCCACATAAGAATCTGGTTACGATCATAGCTTTGTGCCTCATTCTCCACAGCCGACGTGTCGCCTCAGATTTATAGTCATCAGACAGGGCAAAGTTATTGTAACAGCTGGTGACGTTCTTCGAATTAGTAGCCGTGTCTCGAAAAACAAGATACGGAGAGCTGATGATGAAGGCTAGGACCCATGTGACCAGGGCAATGTTGGAAGCCAACTTTGGTGTCCGGTGGTTATGAGACCACACAGGGCAAATCACCGAAATGCACCGGTCTATGCTGATCACTGTTAGGAGGAAGACGCTAGCAAACATGTTGAGGAAGGCAATGGTGCTGTTCAGTTTGCACAGGAGCTTCCCAAATGGCCAGTGAAAGCCCAGGGCAGTGTAGGCGATGCTGAAGGGCAGAAAAAAGGTGAAGATGAAATCAGCAACAGCCAGGTTTAGAAACCACACGGCATTTACTGTCTTCTTCATCTTGAAGCCAGCGATCCAGATGACAAGGCCATTGCCCGTCACCCCCAGCAGACACGCAAGGCTGTAGACCACCATGGAAAGGATATGCATGCTCTTTTGGAGGCCAGAGAAGTAATTGGACACAGTGGAGTTTTCATGCTGAGTGGTGGAGCTGGTTGAGAACAGCGAAGAGGAAGAGACGTTTTCCATCACCATCTGGGCTCCTGCAACTAGACAAGAACACTTCTGCTATTATTTGCAGCACTGGCAGTTGCCGGGCAATCGGTGTGAGGTGAGAATTTTTGCCAACAACAGCGCACCAAAAACCCGTAAGACCATGAATCTGGGAAATAACTGACATTTAGTATTGACAGTGCTTATCTAGAGCTTTTCATCTGAGGCTCTCAACAACACTTTACAAAGGTAGACCTATAAGAACAGGAGTACTTGTGGCACCTTAGAGACTAACAAATTTATTAGAGCATAAGCTTTCGTGGACTACAGCCCACTTCTTCGGATGCATGCATCCACGAAAGCTTATGCTCTAATAAATTTGTTAGTCTCTAAGGTGCCACAAGTTCTCCTGTTCTTTTTGCAGATACAGACTAACACGGCTGCTACTCTGAAAGGTAGACCTATGTTACTGATGGGGAAAGTGAGACGTAAGGTATTTAAGTACCTTGGCCGTGATCCCAGAAAGGAGGTGCCACAGCTGAGAGTAGGGAAGACCTGTGTGTGAATATCAGAGGGCTGAAACTGGTCCTAAAGGAGCCCTGTATCTGGTGCCTGATTTTGTCCAACAGTTAAAATAAGATGTTCAGGCATAAGTTCAGCCGCCATTGGAGCACCTTGGAGCCCCACTACTATAAATGGAAACTTTGAAAGCACAATACCCAACTCACAGGGAGAATCGCACCGGGACGCTTTTCTCCTCTAACAGCAAAAAAGAAGAAAGCTACACACAAAAAGTCTCTATTTCCCTCCAAGCACAGTTGCCAACTTTCACACGGTAAATAAGCACCCTGATTTTCACAATAAGCTAAAAATCAAGCTAATCCCATTTCAAAACAAGGCCAAAACAAGCCAATCCCTAAAAGCCCCAACACTCTAGGTGACTAGATCCCCCCGGCGTGCAGTCTGGGACTGTGGTGGGTCCTCTGTGCACCCCTGACTCTCTCCCCCTTTGCCCCCACTTCCCCCTGCTTGCCGGGAGCCGATCAAAAAAAAAGAAGCAACAAGCCAAACAAGCAACAAGCCAAAAACTAGCCAACAAGCAACTCACAAGCCAAAAACAAGCCCAATTTCTGTGTTTTTTTCACGGGTTTGGCATGGCTGCCTCCAAGAAGGAGCACATTTTTGTGGCAGGGTTACGCGCAGGTGACGCTCCAGTTAGGAGGAGATGGTATTCCAAAGGCTGGCACTGAATGGGTCCTGGAGACCCTAGAGGCTTAGGCTCTGTGTTGACACTGGGCACAGAAGCTACTCTTTCTCTCAGTCGGTGTGATACGGTCACTACCAAATGGAACATTTTAGGATGGGCATGTGGTCTTCTCACTGCTCTAAGTCATGGGTGAAATCCTGGTCCCCTAGAAATCAGTGGATGTTTTGCCATCAATTTCAGTGGACTCAGGATCATAGCCCATGTGAAAACTACCCAGGAAATTAATCAGACATGGGCAAGCTACCAAAAAAACACCTCTCTTGCCAGCAGACGTCTGCCCACACCTCCCCTAATATGCGCTGAATGGCCCTGCATCTCGCCAGAGATGCTGGTAGGATCGGAGTCTCATGCACTGAATATGGTACCTTATTCTAGCCCTCAGTGATCCTGTTACCTGGTGCTTTATAATTGAATTCTGTTTCAGCAAGGTGCCTTTTAGGATACATCTTTCAGTACAAAGTATAATAATTTATTATAATCTCCCATTTACAAGCAAATCCCCTTTTGAAGTCCCAGCCCCCTCCTGCTTTTTTCACTGCCCCCCACCCCCATTTAATTCCTGGCACTCGGATTAACTTGGGACCACTCACCGCTGCCTTATGCCTCTCACCGCTTCTCTGCTCTCAGCTTCTGGGCACGGTGAGCAGTGCAGCCGCTGGGCTTATTGTCAAGAAGCTTTCGAGACAGTGAGTGGCTCTGAGAGTGATTCAGGATAGCTTGTTTGGTCTTTCCATGGCCTGAGTTCATGGGGAATTTACGGGGCATCATTTATTCCACTGTCTTGTTCCTCAATTTACAGGGAGTAGAATTTAACCCATTGGCATCTCTGGCCATAGCTTGTCCCGAGATGTTGTCCTAAGCAATGACTTTGGTTGGCAGGATGAAAGATGTCTCAAAGGTGCAGCTGTGAAAATGTGCCAAGTGACCCAACCCCATCCCGAGTGGAAGCTGTAATGCTGGGGACATGTGGCCCAATTCACTATTGTATTGGGCTCACAAGTCAAAGAGAATTCCCCAAGCGGATCGCAAAGGGACAGATGCCTCGAGAGACCATCTGAGGTGGGTACAATCTGCCTGAGCCTCCTGTCTGTCCGCATCAGGGGCAGTTTTTCCTCCTGGCCTTTTAATCGTTCCTGAGAACAGGAGGGAACCTGCTCTTACTGCTTTCGATCTCCGATCTCCCTCCTCTGCCATGCGAGATGCACAGGCCCCTGCAGAAGTTGCGGAGGCCCCCTTCTAGGGTTCATTAATTCAAAATCACATCCTTAATATTGCGTGACGGCTGCCCACTTGGCTGACACACTGGGGACTGAACCAGAGACCTGCACAGCTATAAAGCTTGTGCAACTGCAACTTGAGTTACAGAGCAACCATTGCAGCTGGGCTGTGCAGTGCCGATCCTAGCCCACTGGGGGCCCTAAGCTGGAATAGCCCCCCACCCTACATACTAATAATTAATGGGGGGGGGAGCTTGAGCTGCGCAGGGCCCTAAGCAATTGCTTAGCCTGCTTATGCCTAGCGCCAGCTCTGGCTGCAATGAGTGCTAGTCTCTGTGGATTGGCACGGATGGAGGGGTGGGGGCTGTAACAGTTGCATGAGTGCAGGTGCCTACTGGGGGAAGGAGGAGCGATGCACTGCGAGGACCCGGATAGTAAAGAGCTCTGGGTGTTGGCCAGGCTCTAGGGTGACCAGATGTCCTGATTTTATAGGGACAGTCCCGATTTTTGGGTCTTTTTCTTATATAGGCTCCTATTACCCCCCACCCCCTGTCCCGATTTTTCTCACTTGCTATCTGGTCACCCTACCAGGCTCCCAGAGGCAAAGAGCTCGCCTTTCCTCAGCCGGCGGGGAGATCCCCCTTGCCTACCCAGAGGCGGATTTACCCCACCCCCACGCTGTCTGCTAGGGTCGAGCTCCCCGTTCCCGCATGCTGTGAGCCGGCGGGGCTCTGCGGCTCTCCATGCTCCCCTCCCGCTGGGCATCGGGCCCCTCCTCCTCCCTCGCCACCCCCAACGTGGCCCGGGCGAGGGGCTCTGGCCACCCACGAGCATCATCCCCCACCCACGTGCTGCTCTGGGGCTGGCGGGCCCGGCCGGCGAGCTCGGCCTGGGCCAATAGTGTGGGGGCAGAGGGCGGGACGGATGGCACGCGCGCCTCCGATTGGTCGAGGCGATTCCGAAGGTTCCCTGCGCGGGGCCCGCGGGCTGCTCGGCGATTGGCTGAGAGGGAGGCGGGGCATGTCTGAAGATTCCAGCCCCGGGGCGCGGGGGCATGGTGCTGCTCTAGGTGCGAGTGGGTTGAGTCTGCTCCGAGCTGCGGCAGCCCCGGCGCGCTGGGAGCCTGGTAAGTGCGGCGGATTCCCACTGGGGACCCTCAGCCCTTTCCCAGCGCGGGGGCTGCAGTCTAGAGAGGCCCTGAGCCAGGTGCAGCGGGATCCGGGTAAATCTACTGGCATTAGCTCCAGGTGCAGGCGGGGCTGGGGGTCGCTGTCTCTCTCCTCTTCTCCTGAACTGCCTGGGCTTTGTGCCTTGGCTGGGCTGAGCTGAAAGGAGTTTAGCAGCAGCTGCCTCTGCTCGGGGGGCTGGGAAAGCAACAGGAAGTTGGAGCCAGGGTCTTGATACTTCTATTTTGGGGATCCCTAGAATCATAGAAGATTAGGGTTGGAAGGGACCTCAGGAGGTCATCTAGTCCAACCCCCTGCTCAAAGCAGGACCAACCCCAACTAAATCATCCCAGCCAGGGCTTTGTCAAGCTGGGCCTTAAAAACCTCTAAGGAAGGAGATTCCAGCACCTCCCTAGGTAACCCATTCCAGTGCTTCACCACCCTCCTAGTGAAATAATCTCAGATTGCCTGTCTGTCTCTTTTATGCCCCCAGCACCTCGCTGGCTGGGATGGCAGAATTGAAGTTGGAGGTAACATAGCAGAGGCTGGGGCAAAATCATTGTTGAGATGGAAAGTGATTTCCTCCCTCTTTTGCAGCACATGAAGATTTGGGCTTGTTTTAAAGAATGGGACTGTTGGGAAAGTGGGTTTCAAGTGTAAACTAAATTTCCCCTTAAATCATAGTGACTGAAAGTAGTTAAAGCTCTTGAAGTGGGAGGAAATGGATTCTACACTCTCCTTCTGTCTAAAACAATCTTTTCTTTAAAAAGAACAGGAGTACTTGTGGCACCTTAGAGACTAACAAATTTATTAGAGCATAAGCTTTCGTGGACTACAGCCCACTTCTTCGGATGCATATTTGTTAGTCTCTAAGGTGCCACAAATCCTCCTGTTCTTCTTTTTGCGGATACAGACTAACACGGCTGCTACTCTGAAATCTTTTCTTTGAGGCCTACTGCAGGTGAACAGGAAAATAATTATTTTACTGATTGTAATATTTTATAAGTTGAATGGTAGCTGTCTCCAGCCAAAATGTATAACACAGACCCTAGCTGAAGGGCACAAAGTGAACTACATAGTGCTTTTCCTGAAGCATCAGGTGTCGGCTACTGCCAGAGTTGAGATACAGGATCTGACGGACCGGTGGGTTGGATATGATCCTTGGATCAGGGACCATATCTTTTGTTTCCTGTATAGCGCTGAATAAACAGTAAGCACTTAATGGATAGCATGGTCCAGTGGCTAGGGCCCTGGAATGGGAGTGAGGGAGGGACTCAATTTCGTACACAGGGTTCCTTTTCTGCCACTTACTCTTTGTGACTTTTGGCAATTTGCTTCACCCTGCCTTGCTTTCCCCATTGAAGTGGAGAGAACAGTACTTGTCCACCCACCTTCTGTAACGGTGATAGAGATATACCAGTGACAAATGCTAGAGAAGAGCTTATTATTTGTTAGTTAATGATGATCTGGTCTGGCCGGAGCTGGGATATCAGCCTGCATGGAAAGGCAAATCCTGCTTTTCCAGCCTAAGCCACATTTCATTCTGACTCCATTTTTGCAATTCAGCTTTTCGGAGGTGCAGAATTTACAGTGCCACAAAGAGATAACAGCAGATTCATGGGGGAATAAAGGTAAATTTAGAATTGCAGGGCGGGAGGAGCTCTCAAGCCAGGGCAGACGGCTTTCCAGATGGCCTTTAGTTATTTGGCACTAGCAAACAAAATGATTGCCTCATTAGCTGTACATGGCCTTTCACTAGCCTTGAGGAGTTAATGTTTAAAAGGAGTTTTTGTTTTTTGACTAAGACATGACTCTGAGAGTTTATGCTTGTTAGCGTATGAGCTCCACAGAAGTCACGTTGCTGGACTTTGATTAGTGGATACGTAGCTTTTCGGATTGCATTGGTCAGGCCTGATGGTCACACTTACTGTAAATATGGCACTTGGCATGGATCCAGTGTACTGTAACACACACGCTCTGGGCCTTTGACCTGCTCTGTGACCCTCAGTCATATCGGGCAGGGCCTTGCTCATATGAGAAATCCTGTGGTCTTACATGGGACTACTCCTGCGTGCAAGGTGCTACTTGTAAATAAGGGTGGCAGAGACATTTATCAGACAGTGGTGAATTTAATATCTCTTGTATGTTTCAAGCAGCCTGTCCCTTTAAGTAGAGCAGCAATTTAAAAAAACAACAACATACTTCTGTCCAAAAATGTATTTACCAATTACTGTTACAAGTAGGTCCTAACCTTTCTGGAACTAAGAGTTTGGAGGAAAAACAATACTTTTCTCTCTTCAGTGTGATTTTGACCACACCAAGTGCTGGCAAATGCCCAGTTTCGCTATTTCCTGTGTAGAGTCAGATCAACAGTTTTCCCCGGTTGTATGTGTGGATCTCTGACCCAGCAACAAAGAAAAGAAAAACAGCTAAAATAGCCAAGTGATTGTAGAACCACAACAACTGGCAGGGGTAGGGATAGCCCTGAAATGACACTTTTTAAAAAAATGGACTAGATTTTCAATGGATGGGGTCTTTATGAACTGTAGAGTTTTCATTATCAGCTTGGTCCCAACCACACTGAAATCAGTTCTTTCCATGGATTTGGATCAGGCCCTGTATTCATAGATTCATTGGGGTTTATAATTTATAACTCGGCACTTAATTCACTGCAGGCTGCAAACTGGAACGTCAGGTCACACCCTGGGAGAGTTCACCTCCGGTGGGTGGTTGTTTTTAACAGTACTCTACAAGCTGTCTCACTCTGTTTGTTTTCAGACCACGATATACCAAGCAAGCAACTGCCCCCAGCATGGCTCACTTAACCAATGTCAATGGAGAGCTCCCCAGCGCTGAACTCTGGATGTCCCATAACAAGATGGTCATGGAGCCGCTTGATACCAGTGACCCGGAGGTGAGAAGGCTTTTTTCCAGTGTTTGTGGTGGGGAAAGGGTTGTGTGCGTTTTGGCAGAGGGGAAACCCAAGCACTCGTGGCACGAGATCTTGATTCATCCTCCCAGCTCCGGGACCCATGCAACCAAAGGGATGTTGATCTTCCTGAGGCAATGACTCAGGCTGGTGGGTCAGTCCAAGTTTGGTCATCCAGTCCTGGGTTTTAACTTGCCTCCACTCACCTCATTTCCCATTCCCTCTGCCACACGCGGCAGCCCCAAAGGGGTGGCAAAAGAGAGGGCTTGGTAGCTCTCCTCACCAGTGACTGGGAGCATTACCTCCATGGTGTTCCCAGCCCCTGCTGCCGTGAGTCTGAAGGTCCCTCCAAACCCAACGCTCCCATGTGGTGGCCTATAGCGGTGCCACATAATAGCTCTATTCATTGTCTCATCCCAGATTTCTCAGGCCCAGGGTCTTTTTTTCCAAACGGGATCGGATATTATTTATATGGAAATGAGCACAGCTGTGGCCCTTGCATCTAGCAGCTTGTTCCATGACAATGGAGCAAATGAGAAGGGGAGATCTATAGCCATTAGAAAGTCGCCTGTTTCTTTCTTCCAGCCAATTTTCACTTCCATAGTGCCTTGCTCCGTTCAGTATCAATGTTCTTCCAAGTGCTCACTTTTGGGAAACGTCTTCTAACATGCAGGCTAATGTGTGCTTAATTTCATCGTGTTAGGCCTAGGTTATCCCCCCTGGCACTGCCCTAAATAACTTCTCCCCGTCCTGCGTATTCTCATCATCTTCCCAATATTTGTGGATTTGTGTCTCCCCCGTCTACATTCCCTTAGGCTAGGTCTACACTACCCGCCTGAATCGGCGGGTAGAAATCGACCTCTCGGGGATCGATTTATCGCGTCTCGTCGGGACGCGACAATCGATCCCCGAATCGGCGCTCTTACTCCACCAGCGGAGGTGGGAGTAAGCGCCGCCGACAGAAAGCCGCAGAAGTCGATTTTGCCGCCATCCTCACAGCGGGGTAAGTCGGCTGCGATACGTCGAATTCAGCTACGCTATTCACGTAGCTGAATTTGCGTATCTTAAATCAACTCCCCCCTGTAGTGTAGATGTACCCTTAGCCAAGCTCTATTTTTAACTGCAGTGAGTCAGCCTCCCTCCCCGGGTCTCTTCTTGCTCTTCCCTGCACGCGCTCCAGTCTGTCAGTATCTTTCTGGTAGAACGACGCCCGGTGTTCCAGGTTCACAGGCACAAGAGAGAGGATTCTTGCCTCCCTTGTCCATGGCGGGATGTCTCTGTATCTTTCCATTCTCCCGTCTGTCCCCCATCGTAGAGGGGGGAGACACAAATGAGAGCGCACCTCCCAGCGTCCGATGCTCTGTACAGGACTGATAAGGAGGGGGCTTCTTCTCTCTTAAAGGTGTACGACCTCATCAAGAAAGAGAAGCGGCGCCAGAGGCTGGGGTTGGAGCTGATTGCGTCCGAGAACTTTGCAAGCCGAGCGGTTCTGGAGGCCCTGGGCTCCTGCATGAACAATAAATACTCGGAGGGGTACCCGGGACAGAGGTGTGGAATGTGGGGGGATTCACATCCAAAGGGTGTTTTCTCGGGGTGGGAGAGAGTCCAACCGTCCCTGGCTTGGCTCACTGTCCTTGAGGAAGCGATCGCTGCTCCGTGACGGGCCCAAGCAGCCACCGGCTGTAAATTGGTCCTTTCCCGAGGCAGTAACAGACCCGGCTGCACTTCGCTCCTCGCAGAATGAGGCCAACGTGGGCCGTCGCCCTGCAGCTTCCCTGCTAGGACTGTCCCTGCCGAGCCTGTGGAGCATCAGGCCGGCTCCTGCCCAGACCCCTGGGGGAGAGAAGAGGGGTCTGGTTAACTCGTACTCTGCCACTGGCGTCGGGGCTGGAAACGCGAGGCGGCGCCGATGCTGTGAGACTCCTGCTCTTCTCGTCCGTGTTGC